CTCTCTCTCCCTCCCTCCCTCTCCCCCTCTCTCTCTGTGCTCCTCACCCCCCAGCGAGAGTGGCATGTGTGAAGTCTCGGGACATGCACTGGGCTTTGGTCGCCCATCGCGACCAGCGGGACATCGACCTCAGCTCGCTGCGTATGCTCCTGGTGGCCGACGGCTCCAACCCCTGTAAGCCTGACTCCCTTTCCTCTTTAGACTTGACTCGTGATTTGACTCGCTCCGCCTGAAGCTCTGTGCTCCGCGGGGTGCCTGGTTCTGTAGGCTTGGGCACTGCTGACTTTTTGTTCCTTTGATTTCTAAAGTCTTTCCATCTCTAAGTACAGTAACATATCATGCACAGTTTACTGCTGTTTGGACCAGGAAGCTTGTGATGACCTTTGTCTTGGGATTCCTTCATGATATCTACCTGGTCTTCATCCCAGGGTCCATCTCGTCCTGCGATGCGTTTCTCAACGTCTTCCAGGGCAAAGGCCTTCGTGCTGAGGTCATCTGTCCATGCGCCAGCTCTCCTGAGGCCCTCACTGTAGCCATCCGGAGGTACGCCCCCTAGAGGCCGTCGTCCCACCAGCACCTTCTTCTCCAGTATTTGTATAGATCTCAGCTGCCGAGTGTCTATGCATCAAAATTCTCTTTTAATAATTAATGTAACTGTCATTTTGATACCGATGATATTTAAATTGCATTTAGTGTGTGACTGTCAAAGTATTTCAATGAGTGCTCCCCCCCCCCCCCAATACACCCTCTGCTTCCTGGGGGAGTCACCCCTTGGATGGATGGATGGATGGATTTTACTATTACTTTACTACTGATGTTTCTAATGATAAAGAACTTCTTTTAATATGAGATCTGCAGCCATATATTAAGAAAATACTGTGACATTGCTGCATTCGCAGGGAATGCTTCTGCATGCACTAGCATAATTCATTTATTAGCATCTGGCAGACGAGTGCAGTAGGTTGGCATGAGATCCAGCTGACCCATTCTGACAGGAGCGTCGCCTGTCGCTCCTGATGCGTAACCCGACAGCAGATGAATTATCCCAGAGGTGGGGGGGACGCTCGTTACAGTGCAAAATGCGGGTCATTAACTTTTCTGCAGTTTTTTTTTTCCCCGAGCTGTTTTTAAACATCTGCTTTGCGTTGCGCAACCCAGCCTTGTAACCGACTATTAAGATTGCGTCGATATTAATTGCCTTTGACTTCCTCTAACACTAATTGTTCCTTGTCAGTTTTTCTTCCTGCGTGTGATTTTAAGTGCTTCGCTGAATGGAGATCGGTATTAAGATGAATGAAGTTCAACTAGCATTAGAAACTGAATATTAGTAAACTAGGTGGTGTTCTTCATTACACAGTCCCTCCACCTGCTCCCTACGGGTGATTCATTTTGAAGGAAGCCGTCTCCGCCTAGTTAAAAGCACCTTTATTGTTGTTGTTCTTTTTTTCATTTTTTATTACGTTGTTTATTTGTGTAATTCCTGACCTACATTTCACCAGAGGTCCCCGGGGATCCAGGAAGATTTGATATCGGTCCTTCCTGATTGGTTGGTTTTTCCTGTTTTGTTTCCCTTTTGTTGCCCTCTCGGGGCAGACCTACAGATGACTGCAATCTGCCCCCGGGAAGAGGTGTTCTCTCCATGCACGGCCTGAGCCATGGCGTGATCCGTGTTGACACTGAGGAGAAGCTGTCCGTGCTGACGGTGCAGGACGTGGGCACGGTCATGCCAGGAGGTGTGTCGCTGTACTCTGAATCGGGCTGGGGTGACAGGTGCCGTAAAACGTGTGACACGCCCCCGTCCGGCTGTCATTAAGTGCCACGCCTCAGCTGTAGCCGTCCCGACAATGTGCCCGATGTTTTAGGCCGTGACACTAAAGGTGGTGGCTTCCGAGCTCCGCCTGCCTAAATGTGGTCTGGCATAGAACATTCTAGAAGAACGCTGGCGTGTTGCCCACAGCGCTCATGTGCGTGGTGAGGCCGGACGGGGTGCCCCAGCTGTGCAAGACGGACGAGATCGGGGAGGTGTGCGTGTGCTCCATCGCGACCGGGACGTCCTACTACGGCCTGTCGGGCATGACCAAGAACACCTTTGAGGTGAGGGCTCACCACAGCCCGACGCTGTGCGTCTCTCTTCTATCTGCCGGCGTCCACCATTATCAGTGAGCGGCTTGGCGGAATAGGACACTGTGATCAGAAGGTCACTGGTTCAAATCCCAGGGTCAGCAGAGCAATGTTGCCGTTGGGCCACTGAGCCCTGATCCCCCATTACTGCAGAGACAGTCTGACCCTGTGTTCTGAATTGTACATCACTTTAGATAGAAAGATCTGCTAAATGAATTAAAATTAAAAAATGTCTGTTGGTCTGGGCCTGGAGGTAGGCTAGTTTTTCCACTAGGGTTTCAGATGACTAAAACTGACAATGTACTGTATAATCCACGTAAAACGTAAACTCCGCTGTGTGTTGGGTCATGGCAGGTCTTCCCCATGAGCAGTTCCGGTGCTCCCATCAGTGAATATCCCTTTACCCGGACCGGCCTGCTGGGCTTTATCGGCCCCGGCGGCCTGGTCTTCATCGCGGGCAAGATGGACGGTCTGATGGTGGTGGCTGGGCGGAGGCACAATGCGGATGACATCGTGGCCACGGCGCTGGCAGTGGAGCCCATGAAGTTCGTCTACCGGGGGAGGTGGGTGGCACCACGGGGGTGTTGACGTGCTTGGTACAGTCCAGGGGCTTGGATCAAACCATGTGCAAAGCCGGGGGTCTCTGGCAGTATCGGAAAAGGAGGCGTTACAAAACGCCCCTTACATTTATCATACCAGGAAATGATGTATGCGCTACACATCAAGATTGAATGTCATGCTTACTGTGGCTCCAGCCATCCTGGCCTCCAGACCACAGATTCAGCTCTGCCCTTCGGCCCCCCACAGGATCGCTGTGTTCTCCATCACTGTGCTGCACGACGAGCGCATTGTGGTTGTAGCTGAGCAGAGGCCGGACTCCACCGAGGAGGACAGCTTCCAGTGGATGAGTCGCGTGCTGCAGGTACGTGGGGGCGGGACTCTCATAGTCATGTGACATCATTAAGATATGCGGGGGCGGGACTCTCAGTCACATGACATCATTAAGATATGCGGGGGCGGGACTCTCATAGTCACGTGACATCATTAAGATATGCGGGGGCGGGACTCTCATAGTCACGTGACATCATTAAGATATGCGGGGGCGGTACTCTCATAGTCACGTGACATCATTAAGATATGCGGGGGCGGTATTCTCAGAGTCACGTGACATCATTAGTATCAAGTTATTTACCCCACGGTCAAAGGTTGGGCTGTCTTTTTCGAAAGGTTGTTTCTTTGCATCGATTTGTTTTTTCAGTCCTGTTTCACTACCCATTCCCCCAAACATGCTAATTACCCAGTTGGTTCTTTTTGAAGCTGTACTGAAAAGCTATAATCTGCAATGTCTGCCTGCTGCATGATCTCGATTCCTTCATTGAATTCCACACACGCATCGCTCCTATCATCAGGAACACTGCAGAAGGCTATTTTACAAGATAGAAAACATCTCACTTTGTTTCCAGATATTCTACTGTCTGGTGGGGAAATTCGAGCATGATATGAAAGCAAAAAGCTTGACTCGCAGAATAAATAATGAACGAAAAACATAATAAAATTCCAGGACTTTTATATCTTGGTGGGAAGAGTAAACCGAGGCAGTTTGATCACACCCTCCAGAATGGGTTTTTATCAGAAATGAAAAGTCCAGGTCCAGAAAATACAAATCCAGGCCAAGGTTTTCTCTCAACCAACCAGTTGAGTACCCTGTGACTCTTTATACTTAATGGGTTGGTGGAAACAAAACCTTGGTCTGGATTTGTATTTTCTGGACCTGGACTTTTCATCTCTGGTTTTACTGGCACTTACTGAGCAGCCCCAGTCCCTACAGCTGATTCTGGCTTTTAGAGCTTTTCTAAGAGCTTAGAGGTAATGACCTGCTTTATTATCCAGACCAGTCCAGCCAGTTTCACAATGAATCCTGAGGTTATGACGCTGTTCAGTGGAGAGTAACTACTCCTTTGGTTGTCCTCATAGGCAATTGACGGGATCCACCAAGTGGGGGTCTACTGCCTGGCTCTGGTGCCATCCAACACCCTGCCCAAAACGCCACTGGGGGGCATCCACCTGTCGGAGACCAAGCAGCAGTTTTTGGAGGGCTCCCTGCACCCCTGCAACGTGCTTATGTGTCCCCACACCTGCGTCTCCAATCTACCCAAACCCCGTCAGAAGCAGCCAGGTGTGTCTCTGCGTCTTCTCAACTTTCTAAGGTCAAATTCCGACAATGGTGAGGATAACACCTTAAGATTTAATTATAATTTAGCATTTAGCATGTAAAATCGTTACCTATAAAAGACTGCATAGAACTCATATTCAACACAGCATATAGAAAAGTGATTCTGTATGGCTACTTCACTGCTACTTCCAATACTGTAACAGCATTAAACTGCTGTAATAGAGACCATCTAGTTTCTGAGCGTCTACGACAGGGGTTGGCAACCCTGATCCTGGAGAGCCGGTATCCATGTTTTCCATCCTGCCTGGTCTCTGATGAACCACACCTGATCTCAGGCATATAGTAACTCCTCAGGTAGGATAGAAGAACCGGTGGATACCGGCATATCAGGATCAGGCTTGCCTATCCTTGCTCTATAATCTCCAACACTTTCTTCACATTTTACATGCTGAATGCTACTGTAAATCTTAATTAATCTTAAGGTCCTGCGTGTAGCTGGGGCTCCGTTAGAGAGCGGTGACGGCCTTTCTCTCTGTACAGCACCATCATTTGGAGTCACCTGCTTACGGGATCCTCCTTCCCTTAAGGGGGCAGCTGGGTTGTGATCTGGTGGCCGCCCTGGCATGAGATTCGCCCATTTTCATGCCCGCCTAACCGTTCACTGACCACTCGTGCTCCGTCAGAGGAGACATTGTTCTGGAACATTCCTCTCCCGTCAGAATAGAACAGCTTCAGCGCAGGTTGGAGGTGATGGCCCAGAAAGGTTCTGTATTTAGGGGCGTTTAGCGTCCCCTAATAGGTCAAGTGAGGCCCAGACCGTAGCAGAGCCTCCTGCACCTTCACTGTGGGAGAACAGAGCCTCCTGCACCTTCACCTTCACTGTGGGAGAACAGAGCCTCCTGCACCTTCACCTTCACTGTGGGAGAACAGAGCCTCCTGCACCTTCACCTTCACTGTG